ATAGAATACCTACAGTAAAAATTTTGAAATAGAACAGAATAGAATAGAATAGAATAGAATAGAATAGAATAGAATAGAATAGAATAGAAAATCCCTTTATTGTGGGGAAATTCTGTTTACAGCAGCAAAAAGATTTTAGAAAAAATAGTCACACAAATGCGGACCTTAGAAAAATGTATAAGAATAACATAACAGTGAAGAGTTAAAAGATAAACAATAAAATACTGTGCTGTAAAGTGTTTTAACAATATAAAACTGTGCACCTGGAGGATAAATAACCAATATCCAGCTATGGACATTTTTACAGTAATGGATATTTGAAAATAGCAGCAACATCAGAGATGTGCAAAATCAAAGCAGCATGTTAAAGTAAAGTAAAAATGTAAAAAATCAAATGAGTAAAAGTAAATTGAGACGTCTGAACAACAGAAAAGAACAATGGATTATCATTATCAGTACTTCTTTCTAACAAACAGAATTATTCTGATTCCTAATTAATGCAAATTAATAGACAGAAATTAAATTAACAGATAAGAACTACCAAACATTTGTGTAATGCAAACATATATATATATATATGGAAATTTATTTTTCCAAAAAAAAAAAACTCCTTTGTTTTTTATTTTTCTCCTCCCTCCCTCACATTGATGTTTCTGATTGGATGGAGCTAAAAACAGCTGACATAAAATCAACACAAGATGAAAGTAATTAAATACTCTCTTCAGGGCATTTACACACTAACATTTCACTCTAGGGCAAGTAATGAGAGCACAGCGTAGCGCGATATATATATAAAAACTCTTTTGTTAGTCAGCTAATAATAGACAAGCTTCCATCCAGTAATGCAACTGACCTGGTATTTTAGTAATTTCCAAAGTCTGAATTAATTGGTGCTTTGCGGAATGCACAGGCAGATCAGGGATAACCCAGCCTGCCAATTACCTACACGGTCTCCCTGTTTCATCCATGAAGATGAAAAACATTGCACAGAGGCCTTATCGGACGCAACAGAGCAAATTAAAAAATGCACTCTATCGCTAATCAGCACAGCGCTGTCTGGCTAAGACTGAGACGTAAACAGAACAGCATACACAAAGACCAATGGGAGGGGGTAAGAGAGCTGGGCTGCATCGCGCTGACAGCAGGGGGGCTTCAGCGTGATATTTCTGCTGCAGACTACATAGAAGAGATGCACAGAAAGGAAAACATAAAGAAAAAAAGTGAGACATTTCCTGACCAGATATAGTTGGCTATCTATCGAATGCAGAACATGATCCGTAAATTAAATTCCTGCAGCCACAGTCATGCACATCACTATGCACGAGGCTCCCTGAGATAGCTGCATAATACAAAGTGACATTGATGCATTGCTCCCATTATAAAGTCTTTGTTCATATCACACTAATAATTCATAAGAGAGAAATGTAAACAGTATGCGCTGCAGAGCACTGCGAGCAGGGATCATTTCAAGGTAAGCACATTACCAGGAATGGGATTGGGACTAGTCTTTGATATGAAGCTCCACTGAGCTTTAATTTCAATTCTATTCACAAAACACAGAGCAAAATTGTGATAAATTAGAAGGAATCATAAATGCTCATTCATTTTCATTTTATTGGGTCAGATTTTAAAAGAGTTGCTGTTGTAATTATCTAAGCAACAACACTATTTCTCTCTCATTAGGTTCTCATTATTATCTGCTAATTACTTTTACTGTTTTGAGTCTAGCTCTGATTAGCTTATAGCAGACGGATCCTTATTACAAGAAATGTTTTGTTTATGATGCAAAGTGAAAGAAGTCATTAAGATTGCACATATGGTGTTAGAGTGGATCACTGCTGTAGAGGTGAATGCTGCAAGTAAGAGAAACAAAACAGACAGAGAGACTTAAAGCAACCAGATTTAAAGCTTAACTACAAGGCTGTTTTAAATGATGCATGTACAAATTATTACTTATATGAGAAGAAGGAGGTTAAAAAATTCGTATTTAGAAAGAAATCCCCATCCGTGCCTATTAATATCAGCTAATGACGTCCTTTAAATAGGTTTCCTATTACCAAATGATTACACGTCATGATGGATAAAACCTAAGACCTCTGTCAAGACCTTAGCAACTTTATTGTAGCGAAATATACTGATGTCATTGGTGGAAGACGCATTTGGGTCTTAATTCTGCAGTAGAAAGAACATCCTTTCATAATGACTAAGTGCCCCTTGAATGATTTCTGAGAAAAATACATTAAAAGAAAGATCTGAAGAATGCTCTGCTCCCATTAAGCATACGTAATGAGCTTCTGAAAGGTATAGAATCTGAATAAACGATAGGTACTAAACTCAACCCTACTGAGATGTAAGGAAGCTCACCACATCAGACTCCACTGCTGAACATGTTGACGCTTATTCAGATTGCTGCTGGACATTTAGACGAGCTACTAGAATAACTTCAAGAATCTAGTCTGGTTAGAGGAAACCAAAATTGAGGATGACGCTTCATAAACCATGTTTGGAGGAGGAATGATGCTGCACAACATGCCAAAAACACCACACTGATACTTAAGTTTAAAAGAATCTGACGTTTCTACTTTAAAAAAGTCTCTTTTTTAACTGGCTGATCTAATTTACATTTTAATAAATATAAGTATTGCCTATTAATGCTGTCATTCCTCTTTGACAGAATCATTTGAATGATTCTTTAATTAATTATTTAGATGATTGAGCTACTTAGGCGATTATTCAGTATTTTGTGTGTTTTTGTGCCAATAGTGTGATCAGAAACTGTTTTTCTGAGAAAACATGTTTAATACTTATTTTCCAAATTGCATGTTGTCAAATAAGCCATCCGTCCCTGAGGTGGGCTGCTGTTGAACAGACAAGTGTAGCAGTTCTGTTTTCATTCTGATGAGTGGCCACAGAAGTGAGTGCATTGGAAGCGAGGGAGGCGGTGTAAATGAGGGATGCTCGTTTTGCTCACAGCAAGCTCCTGAGGAGAGTTAGTGGGGAGGGAAATTGAATTTAAAAAACAATTCCAAGAGTGGTGGTGGGGGTCTGTGTCAACAGGTGACAGAGCTTTTTTCGCTTCAACCAAATTTGCTCTGAAGTGAAGCGCAGTCATATCAGTGAGCCAATTTGGAAGCAGTATTATGCACTACACATCTCGGCTTCTTTTTTTTTTTTTTTACACATACCCTGTCAGCAGCGTACAGCAGAACAGTGCTCCAGCTCTCAACATGAATTAAACATAGAGGTGTTAGGAGCAGAGATATACTGCTCCTGCAATGTTACTGGAGTTTGGAAAAAACACCAATCGCCTATCCTAAAGAGAAGAAAAAAGAAGCACTAACAGTAGTGTAGGTTTCTTTTAATTACCTGCACTTTAAAACAGGCATCTTAACATCAGAATCAGCTTCTGATAGTCATAATGCAAAAGAGTTCAAATGTGCTCCGTTTCTAGGTATAATTTGATACAATCAATATAACAGCAAACCCTCCCACCCTTAAAGCATTCACCTCAATTTCCCAGCACCCAACACAAATTGCCTTTGATTGAAACAATGTAGGCTAATGAACTACTTTTGTTTCCACGGGAGGGAGACAGAATAAGCTGCGCTCAGACTCCTTGCCCTCCAGCTGCCCAGATGTGCTATCCAGCAGCGCGCATAATTTGTTGCAAGAAAAACAACTGCAGAGTGGGGCTCTTCTTAGGAAGGACGTTGCCCTGTTTCGCCTCTGATTTTTAAAACACTTTTAATGCACACGTTTGAGGAGAAGGAGCTTGAGAAATTCCTCCTGTATTTTTTTATGTATTCAATCGTTAACTACTGGTTCTGATCATATATTATGGTAAGACCACATATTTAGAAAGAAAATTAACAATATTATGAAAGCAAATATGCTTAATTAAAAAAGGCTAATGTAAGATGTAATGTCATCTGAATTGCGGTTTATGGATACCAGAAACATATAAATAATACATTAATCTATTTAATACTTTTATTTATTTTAGTTTTAAAGCATATATGTGGCAACACCGAAAAAATCAAACCTATTTTTTTTGGTGCACCAGTATTAATTGTCCTCATCAGGTCATCCTGGATGTAAACTTTGCAAATATCTGTGTATGAATGAGCAGGGATGTGAATCATTAGATTGAGATTTCCCATTTTCTCTAAGATATTCAGCCTGATGGATGGAGACTCACTGCAGAAGGTGCACATGACCTTACGCAGATGATAGGTCAATGGCAGTGAATGTGGCATTTTCATTACAGACAAGAAGGAGGGGATTTTTAGTGATTGATTTATCACTAATACAATATAAACGGTTTTAAAATAAAGAAGAAGAAAAAAGAAAAAACGTGAATGCAACATCATTAAGGCGTACAGGTCCTGTTTCTGATTGTTTTTTTAATACATTCTGCCTATAGGGACCAGAGGAAGCCAATCAAATGGCAGCCTGTGGCTCTAAGAGCCTAAGAGCCATTTATCCCCACTATCCAAACTGAGCAGAACTCTATGGGAGGAAGCGCAGTGTGGATGCGCGCCTTCTCCACAAGGCGGAAGAGCGCACGGAGAGATGGAAGAAGGTCCTCCAGTTTTGATTTGACTTCTCGAAACAAGAAAAAGTCCCTTAAACATATATTTGAAGGTTTTAAAGAGGGTTTCTCCAGAATCCTGCGCGTTCTTCCATGAACGCACTCAGCGCTGCGCGTCCTCGGCAGGGGCGTTTGGCAACGTGTCTGACAGCACGTTCCCTGAGTTTACGCCTGTGCAATAACACTGCAATAACATAAGAACAGCTGATGCGGGAACCGATTAAAGATTCAAACGAAGGATATTTCCTTTTTCATACTGACTAATTAGGCTGTAGAGAAAAAAAAAAAAAAAACATGAAAAAGTCCGAACTCCAGCGGTTCTGCAGGATGCAGATTAATCTGAACTCAAGTAAACTGATTCTGTTGTTTTGATTTTAACTCAAGGAGAACCTGAACTTGTGGAACTCACCTGTGTTCTGCTGAGGCCCTGCCCTCCGCTCCCTGCGTTCATGGAGAGCGGGTGGTTCCGCTGCTGCGCTCCCCAGTGCGCAGTGCTGGTTCCATAGTGGGGGGTCACGTCCTTCCCCAACGCCATGCCTGCCTGCTGTTGAGGGGTCGGTGCCCCGAAATCTTGATAAGCACCTCCGTAACCCCGCATCATCGGGCTGGGGGACGTAAGCAGCTGATTGAGAGTCGGCGTGGCCCCTGAGGGCCCCTGCTGCTGATGCTGGGCTTGCCCTGGGTATCTCTGAAACCCACCTGAGGCAGGGGACTTGCCGTGGCTCGCAGAGGAGTTGCTGCCCATCATGATGTTGCCTGGCTGCCTGCATCCGGAGGGGCCCATCATCCCGTAGGCCCCGCCGCCATAACCCGCCCGGTACGCAGGATACTGGCCGTACTGGCTGTTGTGGTAACCCCCTTCGTGGGAGTTTTCCACGGAGTGCGTAACCCCCGTCCCACTGCTTTGTTGTTGATCATAACACGGCCTTGAAGGATAATAGCTGTTATTAAACTCAGAGTTGTTGGTAGGGGGCCCCAAGTTGGATTCAAACCTGGAGGCCACCATCCTCTCCATGGGTTTACAGGTGAGGTCCCCCTCACCTTTCCCCGGGCCGTGATGTTGCTGGGAGTCCTCCTGCCCCACCAACAGGTTCTCCTTCCCACCGTGCTGCTGGTGCTCCACACTTCTGTCCCCGCGGGGGGCCTGTCCGTTGTTACTGTTACTTTGTCGCTGTTGGTGTGGCGCAAACTGGCCGAACTGCGGCGGCTGAGACTGAGGCGCATCTGCGCTCCCCGCACATTTCAGTTTGTGGTTCGCAGTCAGAGTCGTTTCCATTGGAGAAGTGTTTGAATTGGACGCCGAGAGGTTAATCCCGGGCTTGTCGTGGCCGTCCGGAGAGGAAGTTGAATGGACCATGGTGCCGAGCTCGCCTCGGCGGTGATGATCTACATTATTCAGAGTTCCATCGCCGGCTGCCAGCATCTGTCCGCTCCGCTGCGCGTTCCCTCCTCCTCCCCCGGCTTTTCCAGAATTCAGCTCCGGAGCCAAAGCGCCTGATAATTTCTTATTTTTATTATTAGTTCTGGTCAGAGCCGATGCCACTTGCGCAGCCATGGTCACTCCAACATCTCAGCGCACAGTGACAGCAAGCCCCGACCAGTCTTGCGCGCAGAAAATGACAACGGGGGGAAGGGGAAAACACAAGCTGAGGGATGAAAAAACAAAACCACGAGAATTCTATCTTTTTTTTTCCTATAGCGCAGGTTTTTCTATGGTGAAACGTTGCGGCTTCATGTTGAAAGTTTCTCTCCCAGCTTTAAATGAAACTTTTTTCTTCCACCCCTCTCCGCCTCTCCTCCATCCCCGGTTCTCTGTAATGTGTAGCAGCGTCTCCAGGAGCCTTGTGGCCCAGCATGGCATGAAAGAGAGCGGGCTCTACCAGCTTATCCACCTCCAGGGCTCCGGCGCTCCTCTTACGGAAAACCTGGACTGGAATAGGGAGCCATTACGCACAACATATACGCTAATTCTTCATATTCACACCTCTTTCAACAGTGAAATTATCATAATATTAAATATTAAAGATACAAAATAGAGGGATTTGAAATAATAAGAGTTTATTAGTATAATGTTAAGGTTTTAACCATTTTATTAGGAGCTCATGGGGTCGAGACGCATTCACCTTCCCTTGGGCGCACTGTATTTTTTTTTTTTTTTTCAAAACTTTAAAGACTGTCGTGTTACCAAATCACAACCCGACTCTGCTTTAACCACACCCCTCACAAATAAACATTAATAAACACAGAAATAATTTTTTTTGCGCGTCACCACTCCATTATCCAGATCTGCTTTTCCCTCTCCTCTCTGTCCCTCAGTTCAAGCCAGTTTCTCTGCAGCCCCGATCAGGGGACATGCAGCCAAGCAGTGTGCAATCAAGCTGCCATCGGAATAAGAATGTAATCACACCGTATAGCATCTGTAAATCAGTTTGCATCCAGAACATGTTTCAATCACATTCTTGTTGTCATGTGAATTGTAGGGTTGTCATGTGACCAAAACAAGCAAAAAGCAATGCAATTTGAAGTCCAGAAAATCATTTCAGTCTATTATTTTAGATTACAGATAAACAGGACCTGGCAGGTTATTTTACAATGATGCCAATGAAGGGCCAGAGAGGGGAAACAGCCTCTGGTTGTGCATTTAGAAGAACTACTATTCTAAGTCAAGTTTGCATAAGTTTAATCAAGTCAGAGGGCTTTTTTTTTGTCTGCTGTGGAGCACTTCTTGTAAATATCAGTCACCCACTCACAAATATATTGAAATCAATATAATACTGGTGGGCTTCTTTATTGGATTTCATGTTTGATGTGTTGAAGGCATTTTCCCCGCAGAGCTGACAAAAGTCAGATATATAATGGTCAACAGCTGCCCAGCACGTAAAAATAGCTATGTATATAATTTAAATCTAAAACATGCTGCAGTTGCTTCCATATAACCATGCAAAGTGTGATTTTCTTATACAACAAATTAATAAAAATGCCGTTCAGTTTGATATTGATGAGGTCACTTAAAAAAAAGTGGGCAGTTCTGGAGAAAATAAAGCTGCATGGGTTGAGTGGATGGAGTGGGAGGATTGTACAGGTGTCTAGTCAATGGTCAATGTCATCCACTAAGTTAGGAAAGTTAGTTCTAATGAAGCTGGCTGTTTGTAGTGCATAATAATGGGAAGTTTGGTGGAGGGAAAACATGTGATGGAAAAGGCACAATAACTGGGAAAACTACACTCTTGAAAGATAAAGCAAACTTAACTGAAGAGATCAGGATTTAAAGGAAAAGTCCATTCATATTTAGAATTCAAACTTCTGAAAGTACTTTAAATATACAATTATTACACACTGTTCAATAAATGACAGGTGTTTTAATTAATAGTTTTTTTATTTGAATGTGCTTTACTGGAGGCATCCATGTTAGAGAAATCCTCCCTCTTCAAGTTGGCAATCTGTTGTAGATCATGAATCGCAAAGGTGAAATAACTATTTTTTTTTTTTCACTTTTACCCGATGTATTCCAACATCCAACAACCATGCAACCATGTCAGTTTAACTATAGCTCTGGTGAATTTCAATGGTGAAGTCCTCTCTAAATCTTAAACATTTTTTTTATTACAGATGTGTCTAGTAGTTCCCATTGATTTTGCTTATAAAGCGGGGAGAATGGCACTAGGCTTACCGCACCGTGACGTCACTGCCGGAAGATGTCAGGAGTGAGGTGTTACTATATTTGGACAAAAATGGCCGCTCCAAGACTCAGTCATTGCGATGAAAATCACTGTTTTAATTTTTTCACTGATTAACGCTAAATTCATTAAATCGCCACAAACGTATTTGTTTCAGGTGTAGATAATGATCCATTGAATATTCCTTGCTGCCTGGACTTTACCTTTAAAAACAGTAGACTTGTGCCTAATTCCTGCTCTGTGCCTCAAAACATCAATTTTTTTTACTTTTTTTGGAAATCCACGAGATGCATTCATCATTTTTCTTGCATTTTTATTCTTCACCTCTGACAGGTTAATGCAACTCTGAAATTCTGTCTTGGTTATCCATTGCTAATCCCCCCCAAAATTGGAAATCACCTTGTCACTATACAACCAAATGTAAACACAGAATTGCAATTAGAATATTTTATTCCCTATATTGAGTCTTATATAAATAGATGACTGCATTTCCTCTGATAAGATTTTGACTTTTTTCAAAGAGTGGCTTCTCTGAACATCTAATAGAGGAAAAAATAACCGCAGGCTGCTGTGTTAGACCACACAAAACCAAAGTCTACATGATATTCTATCCCATCAATGGTATTTCAAACATGAATGTAAAATAGTGCTTAGTAAAGAAGCCAGAGTGTCTGTCGGGACTTGAATGAGCAGAGGGTCTGCTTTAATGAGATCAGATGCATTTGATCAACAGAGGGAGCTGCAGATGAAAGAAGGGATTGAGGTGGTGGGGGTGGGATGGGGGGCTTTTTTAAGGGGTTAGAAGAGAGCCATGATAATTATGATTAGTGACTGTGGCTGTAAGAAATGAGTGGAGATCGTTCTGTGGGTAGTAGAGGTAAAACGGATAGCCACTATTGACATACGATTATTATGGGTTGAGGTGGACATTATGAAATCATTTTAGCTTCATGTCACAATTTACTTCCCTTTTGTGAGTTCAGTGTTGTCCAGGATGATTTACAAGAGACCACGTCCATGACAATGGGAAGACCCCTGCTGGAGAAACTATGTAGTTACAACCAAAAGGGTTCAAAAACTGAACATAAAGGGCAGATCTGAGTGTTGGGTTTCCCATCTCTCCTGTTGTATAATTCCTTGATCCCACTTTTCTAACTTTGCTGGTGTTCTAAGCAAATGTACAGATTTCATGGAAAACAATGGGAGCTGTGCTTGTAAAATAAGCTACAAGTGTGGATATTCTTTTACTAATTTTCATAAGTTAGATTTATCTATACACTCACACTTAGTTATTAGCTGTGGTAATTTCATATTTTAAAACATTGCCTTTTATTTTAATTTTTCTTTTTATTTGCTTTTTTTGCTTTCCTTTTATTTTTTGCCAGGCCGTATTTTGAATCAGACGCTGTAACTTATCAATTGAAAGGTACCATACTTTTTTCTTCTTATTATTATTATTATTATCATCAATGTTATTATTATTAATAATATTTTTGTTGTGCAATAAACATTGAATAGATCAACATTTACTTTCACTGTTGTTAAAAAATGATGAATGAGTAGAAATCATATCTTAAAAATACAACAGAAATATATTTATGTTCATATAGTAAACTCAATTCAATTTAATTCAGTTTATTTATATAGCAACACTTCACAACACATGTCATCCCACAGCACTTTACAATTTAACCACATCATAAAGTCAAATTGATTTAAAGTTTTCTATCTAAGGAAAACCAGTTGATTGCATCGATTAATTAACTTGAAGGCAATCACTCACACTAAGCATGCTTGTAGCGACAGTGGAGAGGAAAAACTCCCTTTTAACACAATATAAATACAAACCACCAATTAAAACCAATCAGGCTAAACAAAAAAATTTAAGATAAAAAAGTAATGCAAGATAGAAATCACCTCTCAAAGCCATTTATATCAATATAGGGAAGATAAAATGATAAGAATTGAAAGGGATTTTTGTTATATTTTAATCAAATAAATCAGTTGAATCATAAAAAAATGATGACATAACACACGTGTCATGAAATGATGAATTACGCTAATGTTTAATGTAACTTTGGTTCTTTATATAAAAAAGCAAAGAGCAATGTTCGCTTGTTTAAATTTATTAGAGTTTCTTTAAAATCAAATGGTTAAATTGGATTAAATGGACTATCGTACAGAATTCATAATTGTTTAATTAAAAAAACTTTCATATTATGTCAGGGTGAACTGATGTTTTTAAGCTCAGCCTTATTATTTCAACAGACAGGAAAGCATGCTTTAATTTTATTCTCACTGCAAAAAATATAAATATCAAATGCATATTATTGCAGAACATAAAAACTTTATTCCTCCTTTTTTTAAGAAGAACTGACTCATGAGACAAATAAAACTGACAATGACAATCCAGAAAACTGTTCACTACTCCTTTATGAGGCCATATGGCAGAGAATAAAGGAAATGACCCTCTTATGGTCCAACTACTGACTCTATGGTGTTAATCCTATACCATAAACCGACCAGATGGTTGTTTAACTACAGGGTACACCATGGGTGTCACAGCAGTCTATCTACATGAGAGTATGAAGCAGAAATCAGACAAGTGATGGAAAAGAAAAATTGTGCATCACTAAAAGACTAATTGAGTTGGTTTAAAGCTGAATGTAGACATTTAAGTCTAATTCACATCATAGCTGCACTCTTAATAATGTAAACATGAAATATCTGGTTCTCATCAGTTCCCTAGATCAAAGCCTTGGCCTGATCTGCTAAAGCTACGCTAGCGCTGACAGTAACGGGACCTGGGGTATTAGCATATTCTATGATGGCGCCCAGCTTTTTCAAGCCGTTGCCTCGGTTGCAGCGCTGGGTGTGCCGCGCTGTGGCTTTGCAGCTCTAATTTCTCCTTTCTCACTCATTAAAAAAGCCCACTGTTCTCCTATTAATATACAGACACACTGATCTGTTTGAAAGCAGAGGATGTGTGTGTGTGTGTGTGTGTTGGGGGGGTATGCGTATGTTTGGGAAGGAGGGAGGTGGAGGAGGGCAATGGCTCAGCGCATTTGCATTTATGTTTAATTTATAACCTTCAGGGGCCCCCTGATGCAGCAAGATTGAAACAATAACTCCAGACAAACACAGAGAAGAGTGGAGGAGGAGCCTG